TTATTTACTTTTTTTTATTTGTTTTGTTTTTCTGCCACTATCTTCCCCTTCAATCAATGTTAGTGGCTCTACATCAATGGGAGAGAGCAAGACACCATAAAATCATGGCAATACCAAAGATAAGCATAACACCAACAAATTCATGCCCCCATAACACATTCTAAAGCTTGATCTGAAGATAACACACCAATATGAAGATGAAACCTCTAATGACACCATCTTACACCATAGCATAATGAGAATGAGGAGATTGACTTGGAACCAAGAACCAAAAACACAATCTTATTAAACACTAGAGCAAAGAAGAACCTCCACTTTGGGTAATAGGACAATGTTTAACTCTTAAAGCTTCTAGAAAATCAAAGGCCCTTTTTACCTATCTTCACTAAAACCACTCGCTTCACATTCCGTGTAATGTTGGCCCTTTTCTGGCCAAGTAGGTCATAGAACTTAGGGCTTGTGTGCGCGATGGCCGAGAATCGCTACATGCCCGTGCGCTCCCCGGAGCGGGCATCGGCCTCCGATCGGTGCAGCGTGTTTGAGGAGCTGCCACAATTGTCGATCGTCTCGGTGTGCCGCCAGAGCAGCGGGGAGCTGCGATACACGATCGAATTGGTTTACAAACAGGTAAAACCTTTCCATTCCCGTTCGAGGTAAATTCTTGTGATGCGCGCAGTTCAAATGGACTGTGTACAAAAAAGCCACACAGGCGCTATTGCTCCACGCCGCCGTGAAAACGAGAGCGTTTCTGGAGGATCTGAAGGAAAAGCATGAGAAAGTAAGCTTCTAGGCTCGCGATTTCTTTTCTCGGATTGTTTTTTATCCTTCTTTTCTCTGTCTTGGCGACTAGATCATCGAATGGATACAAAAGCTACAATCGTCTTGGGACGCTCAAGCTCACGAGGATTACGAGCAACACGATGCAACTATCACTCGCACGCATTCGATGCCACGGTAACTTTTTCTTCTTCTCGTCTTCTCGTCTTTGTGAAGAAATTGAAGAAATTGACAGATTAACGTTTCTTTTCCAGAGACGTTCCTTCTGCAGCAGCACTTCCCGTCATTCGTCCAACGCTGGGAAGACTTCCGAGCATAGCAGACAATTCCATCTCAGAGATGCAAACATACCTCGATCATTTTGTCAAGAATCTCGAGCTGCTCAACAGTGAAGCGGTTAGTCTCGCCTGCTTGTTTCTATGCAATTTTACTATCGTCGTTTGTCAGGTTTGCAAATTTTTCGGGGTCTCAGCTCTTTCGTTTGCACCAGAATACGGCTCTAAGCTGAAGGAGGGATATGTCAGGGTATGCCATCTGGACGACAAGGAACAAGGATGCTTTTCTTCTTGTTTCAATTGTTGTGGAGAAAGGTGGATGAAGGTTTGGCACGTCTTCTTTTGCGTTTCAAGAAAGTAAACGTTGATGAATTGCAGGTTTGGGCAGTATTAAAGCCTGGTTTCCTCGCTTTTCTTGCTCATCCTTTCGATCCAAAACCTTTGGACATCATTGTCTTTGATGTTCTCTCAAACAACACGGAAGGTCAGATATCCCTTGCTAAGCCAGAGAGGAGTCGTCTACAATCTGGATTTGCCGTGAGTTTTGACTGGCTTGCATCCGTTTGGGAATTTGACGTGACTTGCAGGTAACTTGCGGCAATAGAAGTGTTCGCGTGAGAACCAAAGGTGCGCGAGGGGCAGCTGAATGGATAGCTGCTATAAACGATGCCGGGCTAAGACCACCTGAAGGATGGTGCCATCCTCATCGCTTTGGCTCTTTTGCTCCTCCAAGGGGACTTACAAGCGATGGTAGTAAGGCGCAATATTTCATAGATGGAAAGTCGGCATTTGATGCTATTGCATCAACGATTTCATCCGCGAAGTCAGAGGTAACATACAATTCATTTTGGCATTTTTTTCTCACTATCTCTTATATAGATTTTTATAGCTGATTGGTGGTTCTGTCCTGAGCTTTATCTCAGACGTCCGTTTGCTCTTCACGAGTCTTCTCGGTTGGATTCTTTGCTTGGTGCGAAGGCAAGAGAAGGAGTACAGGTTTGTTGTCCTTATGCTGGTATTCATCTTTTTGATCGTCCTTTTTCTCTTCTAGATTTATGTTCTTCTGTACAAGGAAGTTGCGTTGGCTTTGAAAATCAACAGCCTGTACACGAAAAGAAAGCTACTTGGAATACACGAAAACATTAAAGTTTTAAGATATCCCGATCACTTCTCTTCTGGCGTTTATTTGTGGTAAGAATCTTATTTTTATTTTTTCTATACCAACATCTTCTTAGGTCGCACCACGAGAAAATTGTGATTGTCGATCAAAGAATATGTTTTTTAGGAGGTTTGGACCTCTGTTTTGGACGGTATGATGACCCTCACCATCTTCTGAGGGATGATCAAGCTGTTATCTGGCCCGGGAAGGACTACTACAATCCCAGGTATCTTTTCTAGATTTTATCAGCGATTTTTTTTCTCAGAAAAATCGCCTTGCTTTCCAGGGAATCGGAGCCAAACTCCTGGGAAGATGCAACAAAGGACGAGATTAACAGGCAAAAAACACCTCGCATGCCATGGCATGATATTCAGTGTGCAATATGGGGTCCAGCTTGTCGGGATGTCGCACGGCATTTTGTCCAGCGTTGGAATTATGCAAAGGTAAGGCACCAGTGTTACAATCTGTTTCTGAAATTTTGTAGTGTTTTGTTCTCAGAGAAACAAGGCACCCAATGAACAAGCCATACCTCTACTGCTGCCGCATCATCATATGGTTATTCCTCATTACCTTACTGGTAAGGAGGCAGAAGAGGCTCTCATGGAAGCGCAGGAAGAGCTTAGAAAAGCGTCCTTGAAACCAAGGTCATCTACCGATGATATACCAACCCTTCTACCCGCCGTAGAAGCACCGGATCAGACTGAGGAGCTGAAAGACCTCCTGGCGGACAACAGCAAACATTCGAAGTTACTGGCAAGATTCAGCAAGTTTAACAGTAGCAACAACAGCGTTGATCTACCATTGCTCAACTTCGTAGCCAGTGACGGTCCAGACGGTGTGAAGTGGTATGATGCGAATGGTAGTGCAGAAGATTGGTGGGAGAAAGATAATCCTTCGCCTCAAGAGGACGTGAAGGAAGTCGGTTCTCGAGTTAAATGCAACTGTCAGGTGGTTCGAAGTGTTGGACAGTGGTCTGCTGGAACAAGCCAGGTGGAAGAGCGGAGCATAGAAGCTGCATATTGCTCGTTGATTGACAAAGCCGAGCACTTCATCTATATCGAGGTACTTTTCGACACTGTTTCATATGATGTCTCCTAACGTATCATCTTTCATTCAGAACCAGTTCTTTATCTCTGGACTGGATGGCGATTCCGTGATTCAAAATCGTGTTTTGGAATCACTTTATACAAGGATACTACGTGCGTACAAAGAAAAACAGTGTTTCAGGGTGATTATACTGTTGCCACTGCTTCCTGGTTTTCAGGTAAGATTCCAAACTCGTTAAATGGCGACATTTAAGCATGTTTTCCATTTGTAGGGTGGTGTCGATGATACAGGAGCAGCATCTGTTAGAGCCATCATTCATTGGCAATATAGAACCATATGCCGTGGAAATTCGTCGTTGTTGAAGCGTCTAAGAGACACTATGGGGGACGCAGTGGAAGATTTTGTTAGTTTTTACGGCCTGAGACAACACGGCAAGCTGAAAGAAAACGGGCCACTTGTAACTAATCAGGTTAGCAAACTTTCAAGAAATTTTGCTCATCCGTTGCTCATGTTGTTTCCATTCTCGCAGATATATGTACATAGTAAAATTTTGATAGTAGACGATAGGGTGACGCTTATAGGCTCGGCAAATATCAACGATAGGAGTTTACTTGGGTCGAGAGACTCAGAAGTAAGAAGCAAAAGAAGTTTCGCTTTTTGTTTGATGCTAATCCTCGATTCTCTTTCCAGATCGCGGTCGTGATCGAAGACAAAGAATTTGTCACGTCCTTAATGAACAACACTGCTTACAAAGCCGGAAGGTTCGCTCACGGACTGAGAAAATCACTCTGGGTCGAGCATCTCGGTTTCCAAGCGTCCGAAGTAAGTGAAAGCACATCTCTGTGAAGCTCGCTCGTGCTTAACATGTGAAACTTTCCAGGCAGACGTGATCAAAGATCCTATTTGTGAGACCACTTACAAGGACGTTTGGACGTCAAGAGCAGAGGTAACACGAAACAAAAAACTAGACTTTTCTTTGTCTCGTCTTTCTCATCAAGACGAATTCGTCACTGCAGCTCAACACAGGATTGTATGACACCATTTTTGGATGCATCCCGAACGATTCCATACACACAAGGTAAGTCTTCGGAGTTTTTGTTTGTGAGAACTAGAACTTAACCGGAAAACATTCCAGGACTCAACTGCGGCAGATAATCTCGTCGCGAAAAGAGAAAGAAAAGAATGGCCACCATGTAAGTATCGACTTGGGCGTGGCCGACGATAGCTCTCACGCCGGAGGAGAAGCTCCATTTTTTAGTAGTAATGCGACCATGGTTGAGGGGATTCGAGGACATCTCGTCTGTTTCCCATTGAATTTTATGTGCGATGAGGATTTGCGACCAGTTTTCAATGAGAGTGAGTACTACGCCTCTCCACAAGTCTACCATTAGAACAAAACAAAAGAAAAATCGCTCACCATGTACAAAGGGCCACCCTCGCAAATAAATAAAACAAAGCTCTGAATCTTTCCAACGCGTTCTTCCCAGCGTGTTCGTACAAGGAATCGCGCGAGGATATGCCTTTAAACGGCTATTACTGTACGGCGCCGTCGGATGCCTCGGCCATCCGACGGTGGGTGGCCCGCCAGCTAGATTTTTGCAACAGAAATGCGGTTGATTTAAGTCCGGGAAGCCACGTCAGAGGCTCGTCGATTCCTCCACGTCACCGTGTGGGCTGAGTCAGCAGGGTTGATATATATACCCTTGGAAAAGAGGAGCCCTAAAATCGAAATGAGGATCCCATGGGCGGGGCGATCCAACGGCGGCAATCGAAATTTTTTTGATTAGCGGCGCCGCTCAGCTACTTCCCGCGAGCTATGGCCGCCAGAAACACAGCTCCAATGGCTCCCGGCGGCGCCGCCTCCTCTAGGGTTTGTGGGATTGGCGGATCGCCCCGGAACAAGCAGCAGCCAGCGTCGCCGCCGATCTTTGTGGCGGAGAAGCTCTTCGACGAGTTCTCGCTAGGTCGGATCAATGCGCATCACTCGCCGTCGTCGTCCGGGGATTTGTCTGCCGCCGCGGGAGCGCGATCCGACAGCGCCGCCAGGGGCGAGGCGACGGCGAAGATCGGGGGCAGCGATGCGGGATTCCAGCCGTCGGCACCGCCATTCGAATGCATCGGGCGATCGAATGTGGAGCTGTATGGCTTCAACGACATATTTGGGGGCGTTCCAGGGATCAAGAGCAAGACTGGCAGCAGCGATGACGATATTTTCACCATGGCTGGGGCTAGCGGCGGCGGCGGCGGCAATGCTTCTTCTTCTCCCACCACCAGCGGTGGCAGCGCCGCCCCGACGCATCAGCGGAGCTCCTCTTCGCCGCTGGGATCTCGGAGGCTCAACACAGTGACTGGCGAACCAAAGAGGTATGGATATGTAGATCTTTTTCGTCTTGGCTGGCTTGGATCGTTTTTGGGGCATGGATTTCTTGAGCTCTTGTGCATTGTTTCTTCTCCTTGCTTGGACGAATTCTTTCCAGGAATTTTTTATCCCTATATCGTGTTTTGCCCGTTAGCACAGGGAGAGCTTTTTATCATTTGGTGCTATAGATCCTTTCGTTCTTCACGAAATGCTTTAGAGGCTCCTTCATTTGATTTTTTCCTGGAGAGCTTTTTATCCATTTGGTGCGTTAGTGTTTGGTGCTATAGATCCTTTCGCTCTTTACGAAATAGTTTAGATGGTCCTTGCTTTGATTTCTTCTTGGAGCTCGAGTATTTTTCTTCGAGGATCACTGTGTGCCGTACTTCATGCGTCACTGATTTTTCAAACTCTATAGGTAGGATATACCAGACGTTTTAATCGTGTTTGTGCGTTTGCGTAGCGACAGGTGTGATGCCGAAACAAACCAATCTCAACACCAAGCCAGTGGTAGCGGCGGCAACAACAAAACCAGCGCTGATACTTCGCCACCACCAACCTTGTTTTCGCCAAAGGCTGGACGGGAGAGCTCGTCGTCGTCGTCAGGCGGACCTCACGGTACCTCTCGCCTCCGGAATTCGGGTACAGACGTGAAAGGTGCCGGGGGGAGTTGTGACCGACCAAATCAGCGTGTTGATAGCAGCGGCCCTCAAACGCAACAGAACAAGGCGCCACCATATGCCGTGAAGGTTTCAGCTTCTCCGCAAGACAAAGGTAGCTCCTCTTTTCAGAATTCGGCATTGTTGGCAGATTCAGATATAGGGAAAGTCGCGTCGCCTCCACCACCAACAGTGATGCCTTCCTGCTTGCCAAGTGTTTCCAGCTGCTCTCCAAGGCTGGGGTCAGGTGAGAAGGCTAACAGTGCTACCTCGGAAGCAGCAGAGATGAAGGCTCATCTGAACAGGACGCCAGGGGGCTTAGAGGCAGCAGAGAAGCGATCACGAAAGCACGAGACAGATCGTGCAAAAGAAAAATCCGAAGAGGGGTTGCTGCCTAGGGAGAATGGCAGCAAGAACAAATCGGATACAGGAGCTGGGAATTCTTCGCCTCGGAAGTCGAAAAGGCAGAGTGCTACGGAGAGGCTCAAGGCAGTGTTGTTTCCAGATTTCGGGAAGAAGGAGGACAAGGCCAAAGCGAAATCATGGTTCACGATTGGGGATTTGAAGCTTGTGACAAAGCCAACGGATGTCCCTCCTCCAAAGCGAGCACCTCCCGAGATGGTGGAGCAGGCGCAGGAGTTCGACGGTTTGTCGAAGTTCAAGAGAGATGAGCGGTGGCGTAGAAACTCTTGCGAGTTTCCTCTAGGCAAAGGTTCCAATCTGAAGGAAGCAGCGGGACACATGTCTCCACCTCTGGCACAAGCTGAAGATTTCGCTGGTCTTTCTTCGTCGGCGATGGCTATGAAGGAAGCTGTGGAACGAGCAGAGGCGAAACTAAAACAGAAGAAAAAGTCTGCAGAGGTTTTTCCTGAAATGACTGAGAGTGAGAAGCGAAGCGAAGGGAAGGTGAACGACTTTGGCAATCACGGAGCAAGAAAGGAGGGGGATATCGATAAGAGAGCTGTCGAGAGGGCTGCGCACGAACTTAGAGAGAAAGCTTTGAAGAAAGCTGCCGAGAGAGCTGTGGCTGCTGCGGGTGTGGAGAATGGACGGTCAACAAGCGCTCCAAAGCAGCGAGTCTCGGTAAAGAGTTGAGCGTTTTTCTTTCTCTGTCTTCTCTAACAAGAATTTTACTTGTGCAGGATGAAGCTGAGCGCAATGCGAAGAAAGTGTTCTTTAGCGGTGAACAATGCAGGCCTGCCAATAAAACAGAAACCTCCCCAAGCATTACCGACCCTGTACCCAATGGTATTGATTTTCCAGCATTCTCAGAGGACATGACACTGACATTGCCCATTCAGGGAATCTCGATAGAGATAAGAAGCAGAGAAGAGAATCAACCGACAAAGCACTAGAGGAGCGCGCGGTACGTACAAATTTACTAGTATATTGACAGCATGGGAACTCTAAAGTATTAAGTCATTTGACTAGGCGAAGGCCCTGGCGGAGAAAAACCAACGTGAGCAGACTGCTCAACAAGAGCAACAGGAGCGACAGGTAACTTCCGATCAAGCTTTTATCTCAACTCACACTGTTAAGTCTGTGCATTCAGCGAGTTTCTTCTACCGTGGACGCTCAAATAAGTGCGTGGGTCGCTGGTAAGGAAGGCAACTTGCGAGCGCTTTTATCGAGCCTGCACGATGTGAGTTTTTCCAGAAGCATACAGCACCGACTTTCTTGCAAGAATTGCGTTTGACGGCGATATCTTTTGTGCCAGGTACTGTGGCCAGGGAGCGGCTGGCAGCCCGTGGCATCGTCCGAGCTAAGCAACGAGGCTTCCATCAGGAAAGCGTACCGCAAGGCCACGTTGTGTGTCCATCCGGACAAGATCCAGCAAAGGACAACGCAGGAGAAGCTCATCGCGGAGAAGGTCTTCGATTTACTCAAGGTTTGCAAATAATATTAACAATGCACTATCTTTTTGTGCTTAAAACTATTTGCTTTGTGCCTCTCCAGGCAGCGTGGACAAAGTTTAACTCGCAAGAGGCTTTCTTTTGGCAAGTGTCGTGAGCTCCATGGATCAAACACCGGTATGTAGAGTTCCATTAGATCTTGTAAAAACAGGGAATGGCAACAGTAAAAAAACATCGCCAGGCATCGCCAGAGTGGCCGCAAACGGCGAAGAAGCCGGGCTCCACTGGTAAAAAAGTAATTCTGGTCTGGCCACGTTCTTCATTTCTTTCTTTAATCCACACTGTTGGTTTGTGATATCATCCAGGTTGCGCTAGTCAATACTGGAATCGTTGGAATGAAAGAACTTCCAAAAGAGAAGAGTGGATGGATCAAAGTTTCGTGACTAGTGAGATCTTTTGTTGATAGTGCTTGGATTTCTAGATAGATATGTACAAAACGCTGCTAGCTTTGTTCTATAGCGCTTTTAGCCTATAGGTAGATTACAATACATCACTTCTCACACTTTTTTTACTCTTTTTTACTGCCTAGGCGAGCTTTTCCCGTCGTCGCTTTGAGAAAGAAGAGCTCGCCTAGGACGTTACTTACTTGCCGTAGCAAAGCGAACGATCGATCGAGCGAGCGAGCGAGCTTCTCTCGATCGATCATCCATCGTCTAGATCACGTCACTGCACCAGATGCAGTGCTGCTCCAGCGCGAATCCCACGAGGCTGTAGCTCTCTGGAACCAGCGACTTTGTCTCGCGGTTCCACAAGTGGAGCGTGTACGCGCCATCGAGTAGTAATAAAGCCTCTTCTTTCACTTTCCGATCGTCTTCCATTCCATAACTCTCGCTGCTACTCCTCTTGCCGAAGAAGTAACTGCAAAGCAAGAAAAGATTAAACCACCAAAGAAGAAGTCTCGCAGCGTTTCTTTCTTTACCTCTTGATGTTGGAGGAACTTAAAGGAAAGAACGAGGACGATGGAAGTACGCGTAACTCTTGCTCGCTCTCTTGCCATGTCCGGTTACTCTGGCCAGGGATCGCGCTACTTGCGACGCGAGTGAGCAAGTCGGCGCCATTGTAGTCGAGAAGCTTGTCATCGTACGTTGCAGTGTACTCTTCCATGCATTCTTTGAGGAACACACTGGACGGAGAAGAAAGGCGTGAGAAATAAAAACCTGTGATGGCTTTTGCGTACCTTGCTTTCTTAAAAGCCATCACCGCGCCGTTTAGCCTCGTTTTGCCATCGGCCAGAGCTTCCATCCCCACCGCGTTCTGCAAAGAAGTTAACGGTTTGAGGACAACCACATCGGAATCCAGATACACTCCTCCATACCTGCACAAATCAGACACAAGTAAGACAAAGAGAAGATCTATCTTGTGCTCGGAGAAAAGATTGAAACTTACTTGTACAGAGCAGCCAGACGCAGCAATTCGCTGTAATGGATGTAGAAAAGCTCGACTCTTCTCCACTCCACCCAGACGGATGCAAACATCTCGGCTGGTGTATTTTCCAGGAGTTCTTCGAGGTTCGGACGTACCACAGCCACTCTCAGCCTGCCAAAGAGAAAACGACTCGGGTCACCAGCACATCTAAGAAAGTCCTCACCCTTTCTTCGCAAACTTATCGAAAAAACCAGGTTCCATGGTCTCCGAGAAGACCACGACGCAAGCTTTCGGATGGAAGTGAAGCAGGCTCTCGAGTCCTCGCTGATGCCGGACTGTGTACGACCAGGGTGGCGAGTTCCACGCTTGGAAAACGTTGAGCTCGCATTCATTCTCCCCGTGGAAACGCTCCATAAACTCGGAGAACGATAGCATCGAGTCGAGACCTGGAAAGTACCCCCATCTCCGAGTGTCTCCTTTTGCTCGCTTTCTCCTCTTTTCGTGCGTTTCCAGCAGCTCTTTCCTGCCATTCCCGGCCTTTACTTTCCCCTCCACCTCGACGCTTTTGTCTTCCGCATTCTCTTTAGCGTCGCTAGTAGCAGCTTCCTCCATCGCGGATTTTCGAAAGCTCCGGGACATTGCTCGGTCGCTCTTGGTGAGCCCCCAAGGCTCCAGAGTGTCTGGGTCTTGCAAAAGCGCGCTCCCTGTAGGATCGAAAGGTGGCCGGAGGATCCTCTTCGCAAACCTCGCGTCGAAAACGTTCTTAGGCGGAACGCGTTGCTTCTGAGAGGCACTCGCACCTAGCAGCTTAGAGCTAGCCTGCTTCTCCCTCCTTGAAAAGAGAGCGTCCTCAAAGTCCACAACTTGGTTCGTATCCAAAGGCTCGTCGTCGCTGCTAAAGGACAGCTTCTCCCTCCCAGCATCTTTGGTTTCAGCTTGGAAGGAATCTTTCCCAAGTCCAAGCTTCCGTCCACCAAAAACCGCAGGCTTTGCGTCCACCGGCATCTTGATCACACCAAGAACACTGTCCCACAAAACTCTCCCAGTATCGTTCTCGTTCTTCCCACTCTCCTCCGGGCTATGCCGCTCCAAACTCTTGATCTGGCCCAGCCTTTCCAACCTCTTCTCAGTCTTGTTCCTCGGAACTTTCTCATCGCCACCACCATCACCACCCTTCGAATCCACACCCCCTCGAAAAGAAACTGGAACCTCCTGATCTTGCTCGTCCTCTACCTCATCGCCCTCTTCACCCTCTAGATCTTCCTCCTCTTCCTCTCGCCGAGCCTGATCCTGCCTCAAAACATCCACGTCCTCGATCACCGCATCGTCTAGCTCCATATCCTCGTCTTCCAGCTCCTCCATCTTGGCCTCGGCTGCTCTATCCAAGCTCTCAAACTCGGCATTCTCTTGCTCCAAGTCGGTTAGTTCCATCTTCTTGCCGCTACTCTCCTCCACCGCTGCTTTTCTTCCCATAGTCTTGAGCCTCTGCGCTTGGACCGAGAAATCATCCTTGTCTTCCTCTACGCTGCTCGATCCGCTCAGTACCGACCCAAATCCGCCCAGCCGAGCCTGGAGATAGAAGACCGAGACGAGCAGCAGCGTGCCGCCGAGGATCACCGCGACGCTCGTCTTCCAGCCATGGAATTTGAGACGCGGCGACGCTGCTCCAGGCAGGGAGGCGGACCTCGAGAAGCGGGTCCGTCTCGCATTGCTCGACTGCAATCTCTTCATTGCTGCTGCCGCATTGCTGCGGGCCAGGCGAGTGATCGATCGCGCAAGCGTATGCTTACCTGGTGGATCCCTTTCGCCTTTTTCTAGGGTTTATGCTGCCATAGATAGCGGAATATCTCAGATGCTTTACAGGATTTTCTGTTTAGCAATATTTTATTTAGATTACTTTTTCTCTAATTAACACAACTGGATTAAGGAGACAATTAGTAATTCTGATGGGAATCCAACTTTTACTTTTTATAAATTAACGTTTTTCATTTTTGGCCTTACAGTTTTAGTGCACAATAAAGATAATTCAAGGCTTTTAATTTTAGCTTGATCTCTATTTAATGTTTTTGTTTGTTTGCTTAAGCAAACCTGTGAGTCCCTTAAAATATGCTTAGATATGCTAGGATATTCTATCATCTAACGGTTGTTATTCATTTAAATTAATTTTGTATTTATAATTTATAAACTTTCCTAAACACTTCCTAGTATATTCTATATTCAATAAGATTAATCTTGTGTTTATAAATTATAAACTTCCATTTGATCAATTAGATTAATAAACACTATGCTCGTAACAAATTATTTTATATATTCTTTTTTACACATTTATTCATATGAAAATTTGTAACGTCTAAATTTCTGACTATAAAAGTGGAGATCCAACATGTTGCACCACAGCAATCTCAACACCCGTCTTTGCAAAAATCTCCTTAGGTACAAACATACGCCATCCATGTAAAGCTTTTCGCTCCAGCTCGCCACGCAGACGGACTGAGATGGAGACCCAGATCCTGATCGTGTTGCTCGCCACATCAAACTCATACAAGCCAACGTGTTTGTACGAGTACAGGGTGCTCTAGAAAAATCTCAGAGCGCTCAACACTGTTGCATTGACACCATTCCGCATGGCCGCGAGTGAAGGTGTAGACGTCGCCAACCTAGATTCTTCCCTGGGAAGAATTGTATCAAGACGATGCGCTACCATGCTGCAGCTGCCTGTGCGCCGTTTCCCAAGACAAGCGCCTCAAGCTCGCTCGCTCCATAAAGCTTAGAAAGCTCTACGTTGGGATTCCCTTTTGTCAAACAGTGGGAGGAGATCCCATACTAGATATTGGGGGTGCTTGTCGAGGGGTGTTCCTCTTGGCCACTGGCGAGGAGGAGTTCAAGGTTGTAGTGTGGTCCTTGGAGCCACCAAGATCGAGCATCAAGCCCAACATTCCTGTCACAAGTTTGTAATTTACGTAAGCCATGGCTTCAAGCATTATAAGAACAAAGAGTCATAAAGTTTTGAAAGCATAACATACGCTACAGGTTCATCAGGATCAATGTCTATAAGATTCTCGGCCGCCACTCTTCCTCGAGCCACATCTTGGTATAGCTTCGAGGCACTGAGCAAGCAGTTCCAGATCGCTATGTCCGGCGAAAACGGCATATTCCTGATCAGTTCCTCTGCTTCGAGCAGCCGTCCCGACCGCCCAAGGCTGTCAACGATGCAGGAGTAGTGTTCTCTCACGGGTTGTAAGCCATAGTCTGAAGTCATCGACGCAAACTTCTCCCAAGCTTGATGGAGCTCGCCAATGTGACTACACGCGATCAAAACCGCCAGGAACGAGATCTCGTTTGGGATCACTCCCTCGAGCTGGAGTGAGTTGAAATGATCCATGGCTTGTTGCCCACAACCATTCTCCGAGTAGCCGTCCAACATCGCGTTCCAGGTTATCAGATCCTTCTCGGGCATGGCATCGAAGGCAGACTTTGCGTTAACAAGCTGCCCGGATTGGGCATACCCGGCAATGATCGTGTTCCACGAGAAAGCACAATGCTCGGGCATTGTCTCAAAGATCTTTCTCGCAGAAACAAGATCGCCAGTTTGGGCATATGCAGCTGTGAGGGTGCTCCACGATGCCGAGTTCCATCCGGGCATGCGATCAAACAGGTGCTTAGCTCGATCGATCTCGCGCTTGTTTGCAAACGCTGTGATGATCATATTCCACGACACAACATTGTGATCACTCACATTCACAAACAGATCCACTGCTTGAGTGAGGCAGCCGTTTTGCGCAAAGCTATACACCATGGTGTTGCAAGCCACTGGGGAGTGGAGTGGCATCCGATCAAAGAACCCCTTCGCCTCGGCAGTGTGGAGATTTCCACCAAAACCAGCGAGAATTGCACACCACGACACCTCGTTTCTTCGTGGCATTCGATCAAAGAGTAATTTCGCTTGATCCAATTGCCCCGATTGAGCGTACACCGCCACCATTGCAGTCCAGGAGACCACGTCCTGCTCCGGCATTCTCGAGTATATCTCCTCTGCCTCGGGGATATTCCCGTTCTCGGCATATGCCTGGAGCAGTGTCGTCCACGAGAGGATATCCCACGCCGAAAGCTTCTCAAACATGGCACGCGCCTCCTGGAGCTGGGACTTTTGAGCGTAGGCATTTATCATCGCGTTGATCGATGCAAGGCTCTTTTCTGGCATCTCATCAAAGACCCCTTTAGCTGCAACAAGATACCCTTCATGGGCATACGCTGTAAAGATTGAGTTCCACGCTATCACCGTCCACTCCGGCATGTAATCGAACACGGCACGTGCTTCCGCCAACTTTCCATGTGTACTGTATGAAGTTAGCATGTTGATCCATGTCACGATGTCTCTATGTTGGCAGGAATCGAACGTGGATTTAGATTCCACAAGATGCCCAGTTCGGGCATATGCTGCAACGAGAGAGTTCCATGAAACGGTGTTCCATTGTGGCATCCTGTGAAAGAACTGGATCGCTGTGGCGGCGTGAGAGCTTTGCCCAAACGCTGCGATCATTCCATTCCAGCAAACAACGTCTCGTTCGGGGCTACCGTGGAAGATCGCCGCGGCTTGATCCAATTGCCGGTGCTGGATGTGGGCGGTCATGATCACGGAGCAAGAGACGCAGTCCTTCACCAGGAGCTGATCGAAGACGCGCGTGGCGGAGTCGAGATTGGTTTCGAGGCGGGTATACATTTGGATCAAGAGATGGGCGAGGATGCGATGCTGGGAGAGGCCGCAGGAGAGGACCCGGGCGTGGAGGAGCTTCCCAGTGTTGAGATCGGTGCATTTCTTGAGCTGCTGGGCGAGATCGTCTTTCAGGAGCTGGGAGATGCTGGCAAGGAAGTGGGGGGAGATGTGAGTTCTCCCATGGACCATTCGAACTAACACATCCTCTCATTAGATCCAATGCCATCCAATTGAGATCATTGCCCTATATTGGGTTCAAAATTAAATATATTAGATTTTATGCCATTATTAAATAAAGAAGCAATAGGAAAACTATTACAAATAATTTTTAATAATAATCTAATAACTAAAGAAATTGTAACATTTAGCACTATGTGCTATTGCTTGCCAAAATATAATACATGTTTTATATATATATATATATATATGCATTGTGTTTATTATATTAATGTAGCTGTTTCTAGTTTCTACACATGTGTCAGCTGACAAGAAACTTGAAGCACTTATTAAACTAGGTTGAGGAATTTAGCAGTTAAATGTATAGCATATTAAAAATAATTTCTCCTTTTCTTATTTCATATTGCTTATGTTTAAGTAAATATTATGAAAAGCCGGAAGGTACAATAACAATAGATTTTAGGCAAAATGTTATTATTCCAATTGTTTTAGAACTTATTTCAAAAGCAGGTGAAAGAAAAGAAACTTTTATAGGATTTTCATATTCAAAGGTAATACATGGTAAAAATAAAGATATAATGGTCACAATAGAGGCTTTTGATGTACAAAGTGCTTTTATTTACTTTAAAGTATTATGTAGCCTTATTCCTAATCTTCATTTATCTAATAATGGTAAATTTTTAAGAGAAGAATTTATGAAACTTCTAAATGACCATGTTCTAAATGATTTTGTCACTTATAAATCTGTTGAGTATATAGATGAGCGTTACTCAATATCTTACACCATAGAAACATATGAAAATATTCAACTCCCAGTTCAAAATATAAATAGCATTTATCATTTGGAACTTGATGCTTATGATTGTCCTATTTATAAAACTTGTATTAAAAGTGGGCCATTACTTTCTTATTTTTCAATGCTTGTAAGTGGGGCTTTTTTATTATCTTCAAATCAGCTATATATTTTATATATGCAATTCGATTGTAACTTAGTTCTTTATTATGGGAAACTAGTAATTTGGAATACAAAAACTAATAGAAAAGGTGTTGGATGTTTCTTTCAAATAAGAAAAGATGGCAATTTAGCTGTATATGATAAATATCTAAATGTTATATGGTCTAAAAGTATATATTGGAAAAATGAATGGGTTATGTTTTCACTTTGTATAGAAAACACAGGTCACATAGTTGTGTATGATACAGATAATCAAACTTGTATATGGATTTCAGAAATTAAATAAGAAAAATTATAGATTAGAGAACTTTATATGTTTTTTATTTTGGTATCAAAGTCTAGGATCAGCTAGCCAACATTCAAATTTCCTTGACGAACTTTAAGTCGTGTATAGTTGCATAGCATAGAGAATTGATCCCATGCTCTAACATGAAGGAATTTTGCATAAAATCTTATTTGAACGCATCTAAGGAGATTCCTTTACATATGTCATAGTAATTTATAACTCCAACCCCATTGCCACAATTCCACTAGTTTGCCTGGACGTGAGATGTCTGTGACCTAGAAACCAATTCTCCGTGCGAGCCGTCACATTTGCCCAAAACAAAGAGCCCAACGCTTTGGATTCCACGACGTGGCAATGCCACATTCTGCCACGTATACAGACAACTCACCCACTAAAACACCGACACGTGGTTGGCAGGAGGAATATGCTGCTTGTCTTGATTACCAACAGCGACGGCTTTGCCCGCCGTCAGACTGACGGAGTGTTTGTGTCCTAATCCCCCTCCGTTTACTTTAAACCCCCTCGTGTTATAACCGGGTTAGTTAGGCGTAACAAAGCCATGTGTTTAAGCACTTTTAAGTAACCTCCTCCTCCTCCTCCATCTTCTTCTCGTTGTTCTTCATCCATTCATTTTCTCTCCTTCGTTTCTTCCCTCCTCAATCCCCCCCTCAATCCCTATTCTCCTTCG